GTTTGTAAACTGTACAAAAGTTGTTTTAGCAGGATTTAAGGTTAGCAAATTACAATTTAGCCAGAGATAAGCCTTGTGAAGTCCCATTTCTGCATTTTGACAAGCTTTATCCCAAGTCTCCCCATGGAATACAAACGCTGTGTCATCGGCATAGGTGAAAATTTTACCATTATTGAGTGACATTTGACACAGATCATTTATGTACAACAAAAAGAGACTTGGACCGAGAATGCTGCCTTGAGGAACTCCACAGGTAACGGTTTCATCACAGCTGACATATTTGCCAATCCTAACCCTCTGTTGTCGATCCGTGAGAAAGTCAGTAAAAATTTTCAGTACTGTTCCTCGTGTGCCATATCTCTCTATCTTCTCCACAAGAATGGGGATCGAGACAGTGTCAAATGCTTTAGCAAGATCTACGAAAACACCTACACACTTTTGCTTTTTATCAAGATTTGTTGTGACATATTCCATCAAAGATCCGACAGCGCATTCAGTGCTTTTTCCCGCTCTAAGACCGAATTGACAGCTTGATAGTAATTGATTTGTTTCCAAGTAATTTACTAGTTGATTATTTAAAATTCTTTCTAATATTTTAGAAAGCGCTGGAAGCACCGAAATTGGTCTATAATTAGTTACACTGTCTCGTGCCCCACTCTTGTACACAGGCGTTATTAAAGCTTTTTTAAACACTTTGGGGAAAATACCTTGTTCGAAACATAATTTAATTAAAGAAGTAAAATGTGGTACTATAATGTGTTTTGCCATTTTAAGGAACCTGTTTGAAATTGAATCCCAACCAACAGCACTATCATTTTTTAGGTTAACGATCAGGGCCTCAACTTCACTTTCATCAGGTGGTAGAAGAGCCATCGAGCTTAAGGTGGAAGATATATAATTACTGGTTGCGCGCGAAGTAGTACTTGGTGATTGTTTAATGTTGTTCGAAAGTAACATTCCAGCATTCGAAAAATATTTATTTACATCATCTACAGCGTCATAGGGGTTCTCTCGGATATTAAGGAGATACTCTGAAGTAGTTTTCTGATTATTAGAACCTGTAATCATTTTAACAGCAGACCACTTTTCCTTATTTGTTCTTGCATTTTCTAGCGCCGATTTTTCATAATTTCTTTTTAATTTCTTTAACAATGAGTTACAGAAATTTCGGTAGCGTTTATACGTTATTATAAGTACTTCATTGTCAGGATTTTTTCTTAGATTTTTATGCAATCTATCCCTATGTTTAATACATCGTAGTAGGCCGGGTGTAATCCACGGTTTCAAAATTTTTTTACGTGCGGGAATAGTATAACTAATAGTATTAGATTTTATTGCGGTTGACAATTTATTAACAAAAAGAGTTGCTGCCTCTTCAGCACTGCCTTTTGGGCAAATAAAAGAAAAATCAGTTGATTCTAATTGTTTAACAGCTGCTGAAAGGTCAGTTTTGGAAGTTTGGTTGCAGGAATTTTGCTTACGTGTATAGGATAAGCTAAGGATAACCATATCATGATCAGTGACTGTGGATTCTATTATTGTGATAATTGCTGGCAACTGAGTTTTTACCATGACATGATCCAGACAATTGTTTATTCTGGTTGGCAAAGTGTGTCCTGGGAGTAGACCTAATTCGGCACAAAGATTTAAATATATAGAACTATTTCTATCCACGTTATTTGGCTTAATATCGATGTTGAGATCACCAATAAGGATAATATTTTTACTTGTACAAGGACGTAGTAAATTGTCAAGAGATTTAAGAAAATTATCAATACAATGTATAGAAGGGGATCTGTATGCCGCTAGAATAGCAATATCACAGCCAATCAAATCAACCAATAGGAAGTTTGCACCTACTGGGTCCGGTTCTACAACTGTACATTTTATTTCCCTTTTAGTGTATAAAACAATGCCATCGTTTTGGTTGAGATATTTTTTAGAGAAATGACAAGAATAGTTTACTATTAACGGTGGGGGTCTATCTTCCGACAGCCAACATTCCGTGAGAATGATAATATCAGGTTCAAAAGTAAATCTAGAAAGTTGTACAATAAAGTCATCTAAATTTTTGTGTATACTTCTGATGTTTTGAGAAATAATATTAAATGATTTATTCATACCTTTAATTAATTTACAACAAGTTTCAGTATCGCATTTATATGATGAAGCTACCGAGAGTTTATCCAGATCTTGTATAATATTATTTAAAGTAGCCATTTAAGAAATATAATATTAATTAATATGTCGTCTAAATAAGTGACCGTATGTTGCAGCCTGCATGTTATAACTGAGAGACTGAGAAAACAAATATAAGCTTGTAAAATAGGATAAAAATATAGTTTATATAAATTATTACCAAACGGATTTAACAGAGAGTGAGTGTGTGTTTGTGTGTGATAGTATGATAATATAACTATGTATAGTAATTTATTGTGGTTGTGTATATGAGTATGTTTATTGTGTGCAATGAAGTGTATAATTGAGGTGTAAATGTTTGTAAGGGTTGTGTGTAAAAAAGTATAATAGATTTTAACATGTATTAAATTTAATATAAAACTTATATTAATATATGGAACTAGTCATATAGAATTAGAGCATCGAAGTTTTTCAAAATCTGCTTCCGAGTTTACTCGAATTTGGGGGTCACCGGTTTTTTTTCGAAGATAAACAACACCACGGGAGGTCCAACAGAAGCTGTAGCCATAGTTTTTGTGTTGTGTTCTTGCAAGATAGTATAATTTCTGTGTTTTGAAGGTAAGGCATTCTGATATGTAAACCGGTTGTTTAACATGTTTGATTTTCAAGTGAGTAGTGTTGAGCTTTTCACTTTTATCTTTATTCTTATTGAAGGTTTTTATGCCATTCATGACTTTTTCCTTGGCTATAACTGAGGTAAAATTGACATGAATGGGAGAGGAGTTGCCTTTTGTTTTAAATCTGTGCACATCCTTTAAATCAGTCTGAGTAAAATCCAAGTTCAAGCTTTGTCCCAGGTTCATGACTAAGCCGCATAGATCATCTTTTGTCTCTCCCTCAGTTTTCGGAACATTACGGATTTCTATACCTGTAGCCCGAGTTGAGCGCTCTAGCAGCTCTATTTTATCCTCAAGCTGTTGAATCAACTTTCTGTCTTCCCTCTTCTCTGCCTCCAAAGTTGTTATACGACTTAAAAATTCATCATACTTTTCGGACATCATTTCAACACTCTTTTTTAATTCGACGTTTTGTTCAATTATACTATTCATTTTACTCATTAAATCCTCGTAGTAACTCTCCTGTTTATTTGAAAATGCAGCAAACATGGTTCTATTTATTTTCTCCGAAGAATTCGAAACCGCCCCGTCAAACTTCCTTTTCTTCCGTTCCGTTATATTTGAGTCAGCAGATAAGTTAGGCGCGGAAGCGCACTGATGCAATGTAGATTCAAAGCAAAGCAATGTGGTCGCAGGCTCGTCTGTCCCCGCGACAGACGTCAGCGGGTGCGGTGAGGTGGGGGGAGTGCGGTTTATGGGCATGTTTCTAATGCTAATACAAGCCGAATTACCAGGCGAACAGAATAGGAGTAAAAATTACAAATATATTCGCAGTAAGTTGCAGAGGTCAAGCTATAATGGAGGCGATCGACGATGTAGAACAAAATCGTTTTCCGTCCATTGTATGTAGACCTTTGGCGTGTACGCTTGATAGAAGTAGCTGTCAATAATTACGTTTTCTCGAGTGATTGTATATTAGTGCAATCCTTCTATCTCGCTCGTTGGGATTTAGATGTGTGAATAAATAATTGTGAGTTACTCACAGCTTGGCTTTATTCATGCGCGCTGGCATTACTCGTAGATCCATACACCTCCTTCAAGTGTCTGTTGTCCTATTATTCTTATAGAATTTATTTAGTTAAAAATGTCATATTTTAATTATTTTTGGGCACAGTTTATTACGCAAAACACGTCTGTTCACTACAGGGGTCCGGAAGGAAGGGGAAATAAATAATATATAAAAGAATAATAGCCCAATTTTGATATTTATACTTGTTATTTTTTTATACTGTTTGTCAACTCTGTATTATATTAAGTTCTATTAAAATCTGCCCAACCATTCTTCAATCAGTCAGTTTTTTCATTATTAAAATTCTAAAATCATCAATCATCACCAACATTGAATGAAGTTTTTTTTTTCTATTGAGATTTACATCAATACTATTGAAATCTATCTAATGATTCTCAGTCATTTTTTTGAATTATTATAAAATCCTATAATTCTAAACATAAATATAAAATAAATGTAAATGTTGTGTAAGCACGTTGCAAATTTAGCTGTATTCTGAGAATAATTTTGTTTTCAATGACTGAAATTTAATATATTCCTTAATTGCAACTCACGTATTTGATCAGTAACAGATCTTAAGCTAGGCTTATTTATGGACTGATGCACATGTAGGTCACACAGTGCATATAGTAACCATTAGTATTAAGCTTTCAGCATCAAGTTCATGGAAACGTAAATAACCATTAGACTACTTACTACTTACTTAAATATACATATATAACATAATTATTAACTGCCTCGGTGGTGTAGTGGCTAGCATGTACGGCTGCACACTCGGAGGTCCTGGGTTCGAGTCCCGAGTCGGGCCAAGTTTAGTTATTGAGTCTTTCTGTATATTAAGCCTCAGTAGCAGCCCGGAGTTGGGAAGTTGGCGGTGTTTCACCCCCGTGCCTCGGAGCGCACGTAAAGCCGTCGGTCCTGCGCCTTAACTCTCACTGGTCGTGACGAGTGGTCGTCCCACCAGAGTATGAGAGTGACAGGAATAAAGAGTGCACTTGTGTCAGCGCGTACACTTGTGCACTATAATATCTCCTACGCAGTTGGCTAGTCTCAATGAGATTGGTCGCCGTGGCCGGAATCGGTCAGGAGAACATCATCATTCTATCCTCTTGCTTATATCCCTTTCTTCCCTCCTAATGATTTATATTTATGTAGTTTATATATTTGCGAATTCACAAAAACACAATATAGGGTAATAAATAAAATTCTAAAGATAACAAACCATATAGTCTAATAACGCTGTCAACTTCACCGAGCGAGTTTTTAGCGACGCATCTGTATGCACCGACATCGGCAGGCGACAGCTTGCGCACGGTCAGCGCCATGCGACTCTCGAAGGAACTGATCATCGTGTTCACAACTTCAAACTTGTTTGAAGTTATCACCATTTCATCTACACAGAAAAAAATTTCCAAAAGAATCTTATTATTAGTGTAAAATACTTAAATTTGAGGAATTATCCAATTAATATTTAATAAACACTTTTTAACAATACATAAATAAAAACCGACTTCCAGGTACTAAAATGTAAAAAATAACTAAACGGAGGTTTTCATTTAGAATAGATACCTAATCAGATATTTTCGAAGTCGGTACCCCTTCAAAAGTATATATACCCTTTCAAAGGGTACTTTGAAACAAAAAAAAAATTCCAAATCGGTTCAGGCGTCTTTGAATAATTGGTGAACATACATAAAAAAAGATTCCGACGAATTGAGAACCTCCTCCTTTTTTTTGGAAGTCGGTTAAAAATACCAACCAAGTGTCAATCTCACGCACCGACAGTTTGTATGACAGGTTTTTATTTGTTGTTTTATTTAATAGTTTATTTTAAAATTGGATCGGATATACATATTATTGAATTACAGTTAGAATAAATCAATTAATTGTACTGAAATACAATTATTTTACCATTTAGGGTTGTCATAAATCGCATGTATTAATTTAAATTCTATAGTATGGCCCTAATTTGCAATGAATGCTTCGCATTTACGCACTAATTAAATTTTGACATATTGTTTCTGAAAATTATTTTAGAAACATGTCAGATTTAATTCAAGCAAGAGTTATTTTTAAATATATGACCACAGTTACTGTAAGTGCTGAAAATGGTCCTGTATTTAATAAACAGAGAAAATAGCACGTAAAATTTTTAGAATGACTTTATTCGATGGCGACACGTGTGGCTCAGTTTGTAGTGACCCTACTTTCTGTGCTAGTGGTCGTGGGTTTGAGTCCTGCTGGGGGCATTCATTTGTGTGATGAGCATGAATGTTTGTACTTCAGTCATGGGTGTTTATATTTATAATATGTATGTATTTAAATGTATATATGTATGTCAACTACCTAGTATCCATAACACAAGCCTCGTTGCTTATCATGGAACTAGATGGTGCTGTGAGCTAATGTCCCAACAGATTTATTTATTTATTTTATTCCAATATTGTCTTAATATTAGAATAAACTTTTTCTAACTCTGCGTTAGTATTTTTTGCAGAAAATATTAATTAACTGCTTGAAACTAAAGGTATGTAAAAAGCGAATATTATTATTTATATAGCAATGAACTATATGATATATTTTATATAGTTCATTGTTAAATTATATATTAATTTGTTTTTTTTCTGTTATCGTGAGTAATCACTAATTAGGTAATTACATAAATGAAATATGTTTATGATTTTGTAAAGTTTATAGAAGCATTTATACTGTAATGTTACTTTACTTATAAAATTATCGTAAGAATTAAACAAAAACCATTTCAATATAAAAATATATCTGCTAAAGCCTTAAATTGTTAGAATTTCGTAAATTTGAACAACAGTCCAACATCTCAGGTAAGCTTCTTCCCTCTTGTCCGCAAGCGATAAAGTGAGTGACCGTCTTCAAAACAATCTCATTCGAAATATATTGTGTTGTGTATTTTTGCTACTGTATTTTGTTAAAACAATATACTGTTTACAAGGAAAATATATTTAATGTACTATATTTCTTTTCAAATAACATTATTAGCCAAATGAAGTAAATTCAAACGTTTAGAAACAATATTATTAACTAAATTGGACCTATCTAAAAATATGTAAATAGAAAATATATAAATTCAGTAAGCATATTGGAAGTAAAACTCATTTGCTAAACAACATTCAAAAGGAACCGATAAGGGCAGGAATGTTTTGTCTAATCTTAATTTCGATCGAAACTTCGGTTTGTTTACTCTCCAGTATTCGGCTTTACGATGTGCGACAAAGATGGCCTCCGAACAAAATTACTTAGCAAACCCGCGCCTAACCCCTTGTATCATTATAACAAGAAATTTCATCTCAATTAATGTCTAAAATAACATTGTAACACTCTTAATTACGCTCGAGTAAGGGCTGCTTAATTAACACTTACATGTCAGCGGCCCTAACATAGATTGATGACAAACGAAAATGACAACCCTGTATTGCCCGCGTTTCACTTGGTTTCAGTGCGAGGCAAGTGAAAACGCCAGTCACTCTACGTGAGTTTGAGAGCAAACAAAGGATTGATCGACGTACTGCGAGTAGTATTATAACCATACCATTACCGTCGAAACTTGTAGGCTGACGTTTTAATGCGTTTTAATAATTAACTTAGTTGTTGAGGTTTTGGAAATAATTTAGACTTGATTTGTATCAAAAGATATTTCAAATTATTCACTTCATTTGAATTTTGAATAGTTAGTAGCCCAGTAATGAGCTGGCTTGGAAAGCTGAGGGAGGCGAGTTCAAGCCCCAAACGCAAGTCTCGCACGTTAGATATTTTCCTGTGCGAATTATTTTTAGCATGATTAACACTCACCTTACAGTGAAAGAGAATATCGTGAAAAAACCTTTATGTCTGAGAGAGCCCAAATAGTTTTCGGAAGACATGTGAAATACACCAAACCGCACTTGGCTAGAATAATGGAATATATGCCCCGTAGTGGAACAATAAAATAGGACTAAGTCCATACATACTCGTATAATAAAATTGTAACTAAGACGAATCTGACATTAAATATTTTTGGAAAATCTTATTGAAATAAACATTATTATCGATATGGAGGTCGTATCTATAGTTTTTAGAATTTTTGACTGTCTGTCTGTCTGTTATCGCATCACAAAAAAACACTGGAGGAATTTTGATGAAATTTGGTATTGTGATAGCTGTCTATCCAGGTGAACATATAGGATACTTTATACCGCGGGAAAATATCTCATTTCTGAGAAAAAATACAAAAACTGCAATGTGAGAGTATACTAATATGTAAAACTTAAGAATTTGTTTTTTCGTCATCTGAACGCGGGCGGAGCTGCGGGCGATGCTAGTTATTTATATATAATTTAAACGCTTGGTATATTTGAATAATTATTACTATGTAATTAATATTCATGATATGCAACAGGTAAATGAAACACACAATAAAATATTTAAGATGAAATAAAATGTACAATATAAAGTTAGAAAACATACGAGTACAGTAAAACCATACATGAGCGTTGAGTTGAAACGACATTAGGTAGCGAATAGATGTAAGTACCGGTCATTGAGGTTGTTATGACTCTAACGAGGCGAAAGCTTACAGGTTGTGAATGTCTTGTGTAAACTTGCTTCTGGTAAGTTTCACCGTTTTAATAATACTTTAATATCGATATTACGAACTTGTTCAATGTGTTTCAAATAGAACAATAAAATATAGAAAAAAAATTATACATAATATAAACTTATATGAGTATTTTTAAAAATATATTTTGTTAAAGATAAAGCTTTGCCTCTAAAAAAAAACAAATCAAGTATAATCCCTCCACGACCACGGACACGCCGGCGTGTCAGTTAACAGTAGATTTCTTAGAAATTTACCTGGAGGTGTTAAGTGTGAACTGATGAAATGCCAATGTTATAGGTGTTTTTCACTGATTCACATTATGTTATAAATATTTGTGTGTATCTAGTAGCTGGATAGATTTAGATATAACTTAGCATACAGATAGATAATTTCCAGGAGTGACAGCTAGGCTACAGCTAGTTATAAAATTTGCCAAAAAGAGGCGCTGCCTGAATATCTGAGTACTCTTTTATTTGTGAAAGTTTGTTTGTATGTATGTGTGTTTATGTTTGCTACTTTTTCATACTCAAACGGCTAGACGCATTTGGTAGAAATTTAATAAACAGATTGACTATATCCCGGAGTATACCTGAAGACGCACTGAAGCAAAGCAAGGGTAAGTTGCTAGTAATATTATAAAAACAAAAGGTCCACGTATAATTAGGTAAAGGTAGATATGCAACCGAGCGAACTCATGGTAAGTCGTTAGTATAGTTATATTAGTAAAGTATACATTTTTATTTTAGAAACGACAAGCGTAATACGTTATGAAAACTTAAAAACTCACACTCTACACTGAAAATTAAGCCGTAAATTTCAGGCGACAACTGCTGAGTAGAGAACTTTCCAAAACCGCCGAAGGCTGTAAGAAGAAGAAATACGAAGTAACAGCTCGAAGCCCTCTCCTTTAGCTCATTAGATTTGGTTTCTTTACTAAATTAAAGGAAAAGTCTGTATTGCAAGGTATTTAATTATTAATATAATAAAATTTTGACAGTATAAACTTAATACGTGAACGATATATCATTCAAATATGCAATATGTAAAATGGCGGATTTGCCTTCGTGAATACGTAATAGTATGATTTGGAGCGGCCACGTTACGCACAGATTTTCTTGACATATTCGTTGTTATAAGACCACAGAACGAGAAGAAAATGTATTATTTTATTACGTAACTTTAGCTGGTTCATTTTACGCGCGAATAGGTGCTAATGGATATTTCAGTGGATATCACGTGCGGTTTTATTATGATTTCTCAGTAGTAAAGTTCACATTTTTCAATCGAAAGATCTTTATTTTATGCACTCTATACTAAAACACAGTCGTGGGCTGCTAAGAAGATTAAATTGTATGATACACCTGTATAACAGCGTATATAGTCGAAGCTAAATAATTCGAATGTTAATGAAAATATTTTCATCTTATAATTAAATCATTTTTTCAAATAGCAGGTATTTTCTAAAAAGCGAAAAGATCAAGTAAACGAAGTATCAAAATATTATTATATTTGCCAAAACTTCTTTAGGGTGATGAAGTAAGCCTCACCTTACATGAATAAAATATGAATTCATCAGTCACATGAACGAATATCAGACGAGTGCTTTTTCGCCCAACAAAACTAAATAAAGCTAAAATGAGTAAAAATTTTTTATATGATCAATATTAAAAACACGACCACTAATGGCAGCTGCACTTATATCAAAATTTTCCAATTCCAATTAATTATCGGTGAACATGAAAATTGAATGTTTTTGTTAAACTATAAATCTATTTTAATTTTATGCATAAATATTAACCATTCATACAAATATAGCAGTATTAATAATGTACGTCCAAAATTATGATCATGTACTTTAAGCGTTTCTGGCATATTACTGAATTATACTAATTACGCGACAATATTTTATATTTTTTAACAAATTATAATTTTATATAGTTATGTTTGTTAGTCAATAATTAACGAGTTTTAAAATCAGTAAGATGTATTATATAGGTACTTAAATATCTTTAAAAAAAGTATCGTAATATATATATATATATATAAATGTTATGTTATGCAATAAGTATTTTGTTTTGTTTTTGTCATGACAAAGTATGTAAGTTAAACAGTAGGCAATGTTCGGTGGTATTTATTAATATATATTTTTTCTACTAATATTATTAATATGAAAAATTGACTCTTTGGCTTTTTTTTATTTATTTTTTACAACAACATATCAATGTTATTTTTGCACAAATACATATAATAATTTGCCAGCTGGATGATATAATAAGCTACTTTTTATTACTGCCCATCTAGTGCTTCCGGTAGAACATGAGTTCCATATTGTAAAAAAATATTAAAGAATCAGAGTGTACTGACAGATTCACTACGTGAAGTATTTTTTTTGTACATTATACAGATGTATACTTTCTTTTGCTTTAAATAAATGTTAGCAGATAACAAATATTATCTATCCAATAAATAAATTAAACTTCATATTCAAAACCTAATGTTATCACTGAAATAAAGACAGCCGATAGACTCAATCTATTCTAAAACAATTACCAAAGCTACTGACACCAGCCTACAAGTGCTTTAAACACAAACGACCGACGGGAACAAACAGTAAAGTGTATAAACGTCCCCGATAGAGTCGCGATAGCGTGTTGCTTGGTCCGGTTACTTAAGCGGAAACTTCGCAAATCAAAAGCCTTACTCAAGTTGGAGGAATGTTTGATCTGCCAACTAAACTTGCTCTCCGACTGTGTCATTTAACATTCAAGACTTGATGTGTTTGAATAGTAGATTATCCGAATGGATCACACTACGTTTACTGAGTAAAGTCAGTAGTGAATGCTAGAATGGGAGTACGTACACATGTATATAGTATTTATAATCTAAACATATAATAAAATTGTAAGTAAGTCGAATCTGTACATTAAATAGTTTTTGAAAAATCATATTGAAATAGACATTATTATCGATACAGAGTCCAAATCTATAGTTTTTAGAATATTTGTCTATCTGTCTGTCTGTCTGTCTGTTACCGCATCACGAGAAAATCACTGGACAGATTTTGATGAAATTTGGTATGTTGATAGCTGGTTATCCGGGTCAACGTATAGGATACTTTTTACCGCGGGAAAATATCTCATTTCTGAGAAAAAATACAAATACTGAATTCTAAGAGTATACTAATATATAAAACCTAAAAAATTGTTTTTTGGTCATCTGAACGCGGGCGCAGCCGCGGGCAATGCTAGTTTATAATATGGAGGGTTAAATATCTTTACTGACAATTAAACTATTTTGTTAACATTGCTAAAAAATAGGAATAATATTTACATATTTTATGCATATATTTTTAATTTTTAATATATTTTTTTATATATTATTATTATATTTTATATATTATATATATTATATTATTATTATAATCCATATAGGCATATGGATTATAAAAAAAATATATTTAGTTATAATCAAAAAAAATGGATTCATTTATACATTAGTTATTTATATATTAACAAAATGATTACGTATTAACGTATCTAAGCGAATTATTCTATTATAGAGACTTTTGAGTACACACAGGTTAATTTTAACCAACTTAAACGCAAGCGGAGACGCGTGTTGAAAGTAGTCAATATATACATTTGTTTGTTTTTCATTTAATTTATATATATATATATATATATATATATATAATAACGATTTGTAAAAGCAAGAATCCGTTGATAATAACTTCAATTTTGGAGGGCTTCATAATAGGATGGCAGCGCTATGGTACATTCGCCAGATATAAATTACAAAAGCATTGTCGGTCGCCTTCACGGAGCAGTCGTAAACGCCGTGTCCACTGAAGTGGAACTAACGAGCATTGTCTTATTTTACCACAATAGGTCACTTTTCTTAAGGCTTAAACCCCGACGTACTCGTAAATTAAATCTTAATATCTCATTACTTGCAAGAGTCCCGCCTACGTTTGACTCTTGCCAAAAAATTAGACTAATTTTAAGGGTTGCAACTCATGAAGACAAATTGTGGTTACATTTTCATTTAAAAAATATATTAAAATTTTATTAAAGTTTTTAGTGTTATATATAAATTTGGCACTATTATTTGGTTTTATAGTGGTGGGACCAGTATTGTACAGTACCAGGTTAATGTGGAAGGTAGTGGATTTGGTTTTCATACAAGGTTTATGGTACTCAAATTGTATCATTATAAAAAAACGTGTGTGTGTACTTATGGACGTATGTACAGCGTTGAATTGACACTTGGGGCACACGGGGCTAGGGCTCAGGGCGTCATATTTTCAGGGCAGCAGAATTCGGAGGGTGAAAAAAAAACATTTCTTCGCGTTATCGAAAATGTTTTTTTTTATTTCTTAGAAAATGAATATTTAAAAAAAGAAGTAGTATATTTTTCGAAAAATGGAAAACATTTATTATAAAGAATTTTTTTTGCAGTGTTCAAAAAGTGAATAATATAAAAAAATAACTTTATTGAAACTTTATCCATTTAATGCAAAATTTCTATAATAGGGCTACATTTTTACAGTACCCAGGGGCGGCGATAAGTTATACTTCTTTGGTGTAAGAGAACAAAAATAGCTAAAGATTTCATCCCGTATGTCACAATTCACTGTTTGTTAAAGGAATGCAATTTACTTCATCATGTCGTTTTTTGGCTGTCGGTGTGCGCGAGCATCGTAAAAATTATACTCTAATATTTTTTTCCAAACGTGACACAAGGACTATAAATTCAAAAACTATGAACAGATAATAATTAATATACCTTTGATAACCTCATGATATATTAAATAGCAATAATTATTCTACACCACGATTTTACAACAACAAATCAAATAATAATAAACGTTTGAATTTTACACGCAGTGAAATTTCCCATCGGCAATCTAAACAGAAGCTTTAACATTAATTTTCATATTTCTAACTTCAACAACGGACGAACTTCCATAACATACTCTCATTTTCCTCATATTTATCAATTTAGGTCATCTCCGTTTTCAAAAATAAAAATTTTCATACTCATATAGTTTCATTTGTTTAGACTCGTATTTGCTGGCAGACAGTGGTAGAGTTTTATTAAGATTTTTACAAATCTAGTTTAAAAAATCAAGGTATTCTTAACAATAATAATTATTAAGTAAAGCACTCTACTATCCTTAATTAGTCTCTTAAAAGCAATTGCTTAGGACGGTGGTACTGGAGTGCGTTGCCATGGCAACCGAGTGATAGAGTCCCAAAGGAATAAACTCGTGACTTAACGCGAATGGACGGTATTCTTAGGATTTGTGACATAAACGGCTTATCACTTATATTGTAATAAAAGTGGAGATAAGACATAAAAATATAGAGTATATAAAAATAGCGTGTAGCAAACTAGCAAAATCTCTTAAATATATAAATATACTAGCGACTCTCCCTCGCTCCGCTCGGGTTCGTCCTAGTGAAAATTTAGGTTTGTATGTATTTTTTAATGCCAAATCATAACATTTTTTTTTGGGGTGGACCACCCTTATCACTTAGGGGTATTGAAAATAGATAGTAGCCGATTCTCAAACCTACTGAATACGCATATAAAATTTGGTAAAAATCGGTAAAGCCGTTTCGGAGGAGTACGGTAACAAACATTGTGACATGGAAATTTTATATATAAGATAGTTCTATACTGTTCTTACACTTACTTTAATGTTATGTTTTTAGATACAATTAAGATTATTTTTGTTATTTAAATATATTTACTTTTTTTTAATACAACCCTGGTCTAATACCTTTAATTAAAGTATTAGAGACAAACATAACTATTAACAAATCAGTCTTGCATTATAGCAATATTTTTTAATCCTCAATACTTCAAAATTTCCTTTATGAATGTAAGAATTATTATAATACTAGTATTTTTCTGAGGCTCCACCTGTGTAGTTTCTTTATGGATTATTTACTTTTATAATAAGCTTAGGCTATCTATTGTGAAATTCAGTAGTTTTTGCGTTAAAAATTAAAAAAACATTCACACATTCTCACAAATAAATGTTATACATAGTTTATCTATACATATAATAAAATTCTAAGTCGAATCTGCACATTAAATATTTTTTTGAAAATGTTATTGACCGAATTTATAGTTTTTAGAATTTCTGTCTGTCTGTTACCGCATCACAGAAATACTATTAGAGGCATTTTGATGAAATTTGGTATGATAATAGCTGGTTATCCGGGTCAACATATAGGATATTTTTTACTATAAGAAAATATCTCATCTCTGAACGTTAAAACGTAAGTAGGGACGAACCCGAATGGAGTGAGCGCGAGTCGCTTGTTTATGATGTTTGTAGAATAGTAATGTTTTTACTTTCTTAAAATATGTAAGAGTACCAATGGCTTGTTTGTAAAAGATATTTATAAAAGTACTTACTGTTGTCTTTGACCCAGTAATTGATGGACTTCGGTGAAGACTCCACGTAGCATTCTAGGGTTACATCGGTATTCAAGGGCGCTCCCACTAATTGATTGGGCACTTGTATTACAGGATGAACTAAGTAGAAATATATATATTTTCATTAATATAATACATATGTAATAATAAAATAATCAATTCAGAAAGAGATATTTTTTCTTATTGCTAAATGAACAGGAAAAATTAAACTACTAACAAAAATTAATTATATACATACGTACGACAAAGTATACAGGAACTATTAATCAGTAAAATTTAAAAGCATATTATATTAGGTAGGTATGTCTTAAAGTCTCATTTGTAATCGAATTTTTTTCTTTGTAGAGAGAAAAGTTTTACTTATACTAAAATGTTTAGTGCACAAATAATAAAAACAATGAAATTCATTTCGATGTTAAAACTAAGTGCTTTCTGAACAGAAAGTTAGTGTCTGAAGTACATATATAGAATTAATATTAATTTTATGAGTTTTATGTAACTACATACTCGTATAATACTACTCGTAGAAGTTAGATAATGTTTTTTGTAGATAATTAAATTTTCATTCAATAAACCCTTGCCAAAAATTTTAAACTTAATATTAATAAATAATATAAATAAACAACTATATACAACTATTTCATAAAGGAATACATATAAAAAACAAATTATTTTAAATCTTTAAAGTTCATAATTACTTAAAGAAAACAATGACAGTAAGAAAATAAAAAGATAATCTAAAAAAAATTCATCATCATCTTTTATCGTCATCATTTTGTTTATGGATGACACGGTAAGTGGGCGGGAATAAAAGGTAGCCTATGCCCATCTTCATTCAGGTGTAATTTATATCCTTGCGAAATTTCATTGAAAACTGTTACGGCTAAATTGTGAAAAGTTAACAAACAAATACACAAAGTTATTTTGAAATTTATTATATATTTTCTTGATTTAAAATACAAAAAAATGAATAATACAAATATTTAATTTAAAATAAAGTATTTGAACTTTACGAGTATGTATATAACATAGTGCTATGAGAAAATGAATAGATTATTCTAGCGACAAAACTATTAAGTGTTTTAATACTGTAATCATATTATGAGAATTAAATTTATCTCACTATAATATTATTATTATTTGAGCTATTATTTAGTAGCTTTAATCTAGAATTTCAATCATTGTGGTTGACGAAAAGCACTAACAAACCCAGTGACGAAAAATAATTAAAAGGTAGTACAGACTGGCATTAAATAACATCATTAATAACGTGAAACCTCTGAAACTTGTCGAGATAAACAACAATTACAATGAATTTCGTGGTGAAAATTCTGTACCCTAAGTTATTTAAGTTAAATATATAAATACTAACGACTTTCTCTCGTTTCGCTCGAGTGCCTCACTAGGTGCCTAATAGCCAATGTGCATTACTACTATTACAGTCATAGCTTAGTCTGCCTGTTTACTAAACATTCAGGTACGTACAGACACACGTACCTACGCATACAAACTTTTACATATATAATTGTATTCTCACAATATATTTACATAACTAGCATTGCCTGCGGCTCCGCCCGCGTTCAGATGACCAAAAACCAAATTCTTAGGTTTTACATGTTAGTATACTCTTACATTGCAGTTTTTGTATTTTTTCTCAGAAATGAAAAATTTTACTGCTGTAAAAAGTATCTTATATGTTGACCCGAATAACCAGCTATCACCATACCAAATTTCATCAAAATCCCTTTAGTGGTTTTTCTGTGATGCGGTATCAGACAGACAGACAGACAGACAAAAATTCTAAAAACTATAGATTCGGCCTCTGTATCGATAATAATGTTTAATTCAATAAGATTTTCCAAAAAATATTTAACGTACAGATTCCGCTTAGTTACAATTTTATTATATATATATATATATATATATATATATATATATATATATATATATATATATATATATATAGATATATATTGAGTCTTTCAAAGTACATCTAATAACGAATTGCATAAAAAAAGCTGAGAGTTGCTATTAAGAAAATTTCAATTTTTTAAATTAGACCTCTCTACATTTTTGAGCATAATAGATTACGATCACAATTAGGAATCTTTATGTGTATTTAAATTGCTGAGTAGTTAATTAAATAGCTCTTACTTTGCGAAAGGTCAATATTTGCAAAACTTAAACAGAGTGCTGAGTTTTACAAAAGCTATGTTAAAATCTTGGCATTTAAGCAGTATACGTCAGGTATAGGTATTATCTATATATATAAAAGAAAGTCGTGTTAGTTACACTATTTATAATTCAAGAACGGCTGAACCGATTTGGATGAAACTTGGTGGGGAGGTAGCTTAGAACCAGGAGACGGACATAGGATACTTTTTAGCCCGTTCGACTGGGTTCCCGTATACAAGACTCAAGAACGGCTGGACCAATTTTTATGATATTTGAATTTTTGGATTTCTCTCATTCCGGAATAGATTAATACCTAAGTATTAAAACGTCAGAAAAATTAACGAAAAAAAAAATATTTATATGGCTAATAACACTGGCTAATAACTATTTATATCTATTTAAAACGTACCTAGCGACGAACCCGAGCGAAGCGAGGGTGAGCCGCTAGTATTATATACATTATCTTCTCTTGTATGGTTAAATAAATGTTTGTTAAAAATATTTACCTTATATCAAAATGATTTTACTTATAATTTACATTGTTATACTTCATTGTATACTAATATTTGACTTTGACTAAACGTTTTTCTAATAAGATTACTCTAACGAACATAGATACACCCAGATGGACTATTGTGTGCATAAATATATAGGTAATTGTAAGGCATCTATGGATTTTTACAATCGACGTACATACAGGAAATACCGAGCAAACCGAGGGTAAGTCAGTAGTACTTAATAAGTTATTGAAATATGTTGTGCTTATTACTTACAGTGTACTTTGATCATAATCCTCTTGCTTATTGAAGGCGGTACTCCGTTACTGGCTATGCACAAATAAGCACCCATATCCGAGCGGGATATTTTGTTTAAAATCAGGACTTCGTCTTCGAATACGGCCACTTTCAAGAATTCAAAAATTTATTACTTTAATAAATAATAGATAAAAATACTTACATAACATTTAATTTGTATATTATAATTCATTTAGTTGAATGTAAATTTTTAGAAATAAAAAAATCTTACTTTGCGAGAATCGAACTTGTTGCCTTTGACATAAATAAGAGGCTAGTCACACTCTTAAAATATAAAATACAGGCAGTAAAAAGATAAAAATTAAATGTACCTTTATTTTTATTGCCGTTCGCATCTCTGATAACTATATCGGATCCGTCCTCCCTTCTCCACATTACACGTGGTGTGGGGATTCCCCGCGCGTGACAGGACACTCGCACAGTGCCGCCTTCAGGCACCATCACGTCACCCGACGTCTCTTCTGCTACGAAGTCTGGTGGAACCACTACGTCTAGGTAACCCATCTACGATTAAAAAGCATTTTTCTGTCGATAGTTGCATTTGGTTTATGTTTGGTTTTTATGGTTATTTTAAAATTGAACAATATTTATATAAGTATTGTTTATTTTTTATAATAAAATGCTTATAACTCTGTTGGTACTTTTACGCACATGGCTGTTTTTTGCATAACTGGGTCCAATTTAAATATGTGTCACGACCAAACAGAAGTTTCAATTAAAATAATTATCAAACTACAGTTTAGCATTAGGGGCATTTCACGTGAAGCAGACAATGAAAAAAAGTGAGGTTCTAAAATTTATTTTTAATTTATTAGGCATATTTGAACCTCTAGGGGATATGAAAATGTACACATAATATTTTTTTTTATTTAAGGTTTAGTGGTCAAGTTATGGGATTCTAAAGAATTTATAAGATTGAAGGAAGGGATTTTTTTGGATTCTTTTTTCATATTGAAATAATTAAAAATAAAATAGTAACTATAATATTCTGTATAGAAAATTTACTGTTCTTTTAGATTTTTTAATCAAATTTTAAATTAAAATTATTTTTCTAGTGTTAAACCGGAAATAAATATGTTAAATAAAAATTTTAATAACTTCGATCATTTTAATTTTCATTTTTTTACTGTAAAAGTATGCTTAATATATATACCTTTTATTATAAAAATTGTAAAAAGAGATTTTTATTACTTTAGGAGGTAAATCAATTAGAGTACGTTCATATCGCACTGAGCGAGGTACCTGGCGCTAGTTAAAGCCGACTGGTTGATGTGAAGACATTAAAACGTTGATTACATTTCAATAATATTGATTATGTTTAAATCTTAAGAGTTTATTTGAACACGCTGAACCCTTTAGATTCATTTTTTAAAGAAACTTCATAAGCTATCTTGCAACGCTATCTAAGAACCTTAAGAAGTGGAGCAATCATAAGTAAAAAGATTACGTGGACATAGCCGCGGGCAACGTTAATCTAGAATAAATAAATAAATAAATATGTTAGGACATTAACACACAGCACTATCTTGTTCCATGGTAAGCTACGAGACTTGTGTTATGAATACCAGATAGTTGATACACTACACATATATAACTATAAATACATACATATTATAAATATAAACACCCATGACTGAAGTACAAGCATTCGTCATCACACAAATGAATGCCCCCAGCGGGACTAGAACCCGCAACCGCCGGCACAGCAAGGTAGGGCCATTACAAACTGAGCCAAACGAGTCGTCAACTCGAATAAATGTTAAGACGACAGATAATAATATAAAAATAAAATAAGAATAATCATATATTATGTAGGTTTCAATGTACCGAATAATTTTTGAAACACATTACGTCAAGGGCGTCATGCCGTGTCGACGTCGCCGTCGAAGCCTGCAGCTGCACTGTCGCCGCCGGGGATTTATGCCGTTATCAGGCCGGGGTATAAATTACAGCGCACAGCAATAATTTAGGGGAACCATACACGAATCATTACCCACTCGCTTCCCGCTACCGTGTAGTTTAATTCACTTTATCTCCCCAACGTTTATTGTAATCGGAATTTAATTTTCGAATATGTGCAGGCAATTTAACGTGTATACATTTTCCTTTTATATCATTTTGAATTTTTATATTTAAATACTCAATAAGGTTCGTTAAAAATGGCAGTTATATCTCTCATAAAATACTTGTAAGTATCAACTATATTATTTAGGTACAATAATATTCAGGTTGGTCTCGATTTATGTACATCAAATTTTTGTTAGTTATTCATATAATATTTTCTATTTAAAACATTTTATGTTATGAAGGCAGATACTGACGATGATTCCGAAATTAAGTGTCGATGGAATAATTACACCACGTACAGATTTCTCTTATGGGCTTGGATGATGAATGAAATAGCAATAGCTTCTGCTCCAGTAGATTTATCACATTCAGGATTTTTCATACATCTGACACTGTATTCGTGTGTTGCAATTTTTGTCGGTATACCACTAGTTTATTCGGAGATCTGCATAGCCCAATATACGAACTGTAACGTAGTGTCTACATGGAATTTTTGTCCAATTTTACGCGGTGTCGGATATGGTACATTTTATTTTGTTTTGTTGAAACTAGTTTATATGATGGTTCTTAGTTCATGGTTTTTGGAATATACATTTTATGCCGCTTTGGAACCCCCACCTTGGTTCAGTTGTGATGATTTTAATGACTCCAAATGCATGGTTAAAAGAATCAACGTGTCCATATTTCAAAGATGTATAGAAGCGCAAAACTTATTTAACAAAGACTGTGGAATGAAAACGGCAAGCAGCTACTTTTTTGAACAAGAAATTGGAAATAATAACACTAAAAATAAAAATTGTGTGCACCTTTGGAAGTCTATATTAGCTACACTAGTCTCAAGCACCCTATTATTTGTAATAATAATAAAAAAAGAAAAAGTTGTTAAAGTACTTGTTAGAATTTTAGCCTTGTATGTGTTTTTTGTTTTGCTTATACTGAGTTGTGTGGCCCTTTCGTCAAACGGAACATGGTATACAAAAATTGGTATTTATTGGCGAGATATTAATTACCAGAAATATTTTTATATTGCAAGTCAAGGCGCTCTAGCATGTGGAATTGGTAGTGGTGTCGTTGGTTTTTTATCTCGGGACGTATTCTTCCGCAGTCCTGCCACAATGACTGCTGTGTCAGTGCCACTTTTTACTATATTCATTACTCTTCTACTAGCACTAATCTTGTTCAACGGTATAAAAACCATGTCTTATTACCACGGAGAAGAGCAAGACATAATAGAAATGGGTGAGAATGTATATTTCTATTCCTTTGCTTCAGTATCAGAAATACTGAGCTATTTCGATAATTTACCGCTATGGGGTTTTACTTGGTTTTCAACTGTATTCATGTGTTTGTTTATAAATATGGTGATATTATGTTTATTTATATTAGAAATTGTGATAACAAATATAAAAGTTACTGAGAAATATAAGAATATGTCTTGTCTAATCGTATTATCGGTAACATGTATGTTGTCGTGTCCATTTTACTGTTCTGATCTAACCGTAGTTCTCGCAGATGTTACACAAATTATTCAACTCACGACCAGCTTCTTCTTTTCCGTGGGAATTTATTGGATATACGGTTTCCAGGAGCACAATGTAGATATTATATTTATGATTGGAGTTAAAGCAAGTTATTTTTGGAAAATAGCTTGGCTAACTAATCCTATTTGGATTTTAATTATTATCTACATGAGATGTAGTAACTTTCTTGTCAAAGAGTATGACAATTCATATTACATATCATTTGTTTCCATGAATTTGAACGAACTTTTGGTATATATTTTTTTAGGTATTTACATTCTTATTATTGTTGTTGGGATGTTAATACAATTGAGAAAAAGTAATATCAAAAAAGGTATACGATTAGCTTTTTCACCTCTAAGTAATTGGGGTCCACGAGATAAGATTTTGTTTAAAAGCAGAAATATGTTTGTTCCTGAGATAATGACGCGAGAATTTCTGTATCGACAAGTAAGAATTCATGGGTATAGTCGGAGGAGAAATATTGTGATTAAACGACAATACAACAATGATACAGAAGAACGACAGTTAAATTTTGAAGACGCCAAATGGAGTGCCATGACGTCTAACTAAAGTTAAATATTTTATTATAAATATTTTCAGTTTTTATTATTATGTTAATAATACTACAAAATAAAGAAGCAAAACTTAATGCCGGTGTAAAAATATATAAATGATACATGTATTGAAGTTATACGTATTGTAAAATTAACAAATTAAAGTTAAATACATATTATGTGTTTAATATTTTTAGTTTACTTACTTCAATGTATAATATTCACTACTTAGTTCTATTATTTCAGTTTTAAACTATATATATATATATATATATATATATATATATATATATATATATTCTTTTTTAACGAACCATGATTGTATTAATGCATAAATATAATTTAACATAAATTTATTTATTCAGTCTTATTTAGTTATTTATTTAGTCTTTATCATTTTTATATAATTAAACTAATGAACATAAACATAATATATTATGTATGGAACTTATCATTGTACAAGCAAATAATTACTCAATGGCTTGCTCATTCAGTTCCTTCTAAAATACTAAAATATGATTTTTTTATTTATCGGTTAGTTAAACCTCAAGCAAGCCCCAAACACGAATTTAACAAATCACAAAATCAATGTTTATATTGCATAGGAATTTATAAGAAGCTTACAATTTTAGGTAGCTGAGAATAAACTTTAAATACAAAGATTTATTCTTCTTAAATATCGTAAAATTTGTAAAAAAATCTTTCTAAATATTAACTACTAGCGACTCACTCTTACTTCGCTTCGGGTTCGTCCCTAGACAAAAAAAATCTATCCCACGGGAACCATGCATTTTTCCGGGATTATAGCCGGGATTTATAGCCTTCCTCTCTATAAATAGGCTATCTAATGCAAAAAGTACTTTAAAATCAGATTAGTAGTTCCTGAGATTAGCGCGTTCAAATAAACAAACAAACTCTGCCCATTTATAATATTAGTAAAGATTAATTAATGGGGTAATAAAATTTAAATACCTGGCTTTGCATAGGGTCTGTATTGATTTGACACATGTACTGTCCCCTGTCTTCCTCTTGTACGTTCTTAATGTGCAGATTCCAAACAGTCTGGCCGTTATGGGACACTCCCACCCTATGGTTATTAGTTATCACATGGACGTGTATTGCTTGTATTGCTTTTGTATCCGCTTTCACCCAACCGACCTGAAAGTTGGTTAGGTAATAAAAACTTAAACTTGATTGCTGGGTCGCTTAGTAGTTCATTAAATAGTTTTTGAAATTATCATAATTATTAACATCACATATAGATAATATGTTGAATTTTGTTAAAACTATGTACTGTCATTTTAGGAATCGCACTTTCTATATTATTAATAAATTGTTTTTTAGATTTTGAAAACTTATCAGCGAACCCTAAAAAGGTTGATCCAAGCAAAATTATGACTACCAATATTAAATATATCATATTTATTTTATTTCTATTCGTTAATCAGATCATTTCCATATTTATATGGGACAATAGATATTTAAAATTTAGAAAGATAAGCGCTTATTAAAAAAAAAACTACAATCTATCTACCTCTCCTTTTGAAGCCAATCAATAAAAATTAAATTAATATATTTCAACACTTCGATTTTTAATTAAATAGTAAAACAATTTGCATTTATAAGCTATAAGCTTACTCTATATCCCCCGAGGTTGTGTACTAAACATCTGAAAGTGGCATCTCGACCAATTGGAACGGTCAGGTTGGTAATGGGCTCTGCGAACTCTGGCTGGAACGCTTGACCTACGAATTACGAAAGCTATTAATAGACTGAATGCTAATTAACATATATAACAGATGATTGACTTATTTAATAAGTAGTAAAAACATAACAACAATATCTTTACTATAGACAAATAAATCCATAGTGTAATGCTATAAATGTGTAAATAACTGTCTTTTTAAATAAAACTATCTTTTCGGATTTTTTCGCGGATTTATTTGGATTTTTGGTTCTCATTGGATTTTTTGGGAACCAAAAAAACCCAAATAAATCCGCGAAGAAATCCGATAAAATAGTTTTATTTAAAATGTCAAATATTCGCGTAAAACTGTCTTTTTGTTACATTTTCACGCTTAAACCGCTGAACAGATTTTGATTAAATTTGGCGAGTCATAGATTGTATCGTACGGTCATCATACATGACCTTTGCCTGTCCCGCTTGTAAACCTGCGTGTGAATCCGAAGGCAAAAGTTTGTTGTACATAATATTCATTTTTTAAACAAAAAATATTAATTATTTTTTTTCTTACCGGCTAACTTTGAATCGAGGCCTAATATGGCAATAGTGAGATATAAAGACCAGCAAGACTCTTGCATATTTTTCGCCATGCCGCCGCGCCGTCAGACGCTAAAGCCCGAGATATCCATGTGACACTGCAAACGATCGGCGTTTTAAATGGTGAAATTACAATTGGATTTATCTCTGAAAATATTTTAAGCGTAATATTAAATGACATAAAATGAGCTAAATATTTACCTTTAGTTATATTGTTACATATATCTCAATATTATATTATTTATTCAAGATATTATTTTTGTTAAATCTTTTTTACATAATGACATCATCCACATTCTACACTAATATTATTTATAGATATGAAAGTGACTATCTGTTAATTATTTAGCTTTAACGAATTGGCTGTAAAACTTTTTTTAGTGAAATAGTTATGACGATACTTTAAAGCCTGCATAACGGATATAGACATCTTTTCTTTAAATACAACACCATTAAGGTCTGAAAAAGTACATACATACATACATATGGTATGAAAAATCTTATCCCTTTCATTTATGAAAGCGAAAAAATACACCAATATCTAAAAGAAAACTGTTTGGATAATAAGCAATTTAAAAAATACTTGAACGAAGTAGTTAATGGGTAATAAAAAATATATATAATAGACTTTTTGTTTGGTTATTAAAACAATATCCATACTAATATTATAAATGTGAAAATGTGTTTGTTTGTTTGTCCTTCTTTCACGTCGAAACGGAGTTACGAGTTGGCGTGATTTTTTGTGTGGAGGTAGTTGGAGGGCTGGAGAGTGACATAGGCTACTTTTTACCGCGGAACATTATTTAATTCCTACGGAAATACACGTTATAATAGAATCGAAAAAATATTTATAATCAGAATTACTTGAAACTTTGTATTATTGTTCTTCAATAAAATTTAATAAATACGTTTTTTAGCATTTTTCGAAATTAATTCTTTAAGGGGGTAAAATAGGAGATGAAAGTTTGTATGAAACTACCTTTTTAGAGATTTTATTGTAGTTTTAGCGCGAGCGAAGCCGCGGGTTCTGCTAGTTATAATATAATTAATAAATATACAATAAGAATCATCGTTTACAATTATAAAAGCAATCCAATTATTAAAATATCCAGTGTGTTCCCTACTTTCCTGTAATTATGGTACACGAGAGTATTCGTCGACTGGAAGAGCTATTTGCGCGTTCCGTACGACGTTTAGCGATTTGATCAGCCAATAATGATTCACTGTTATGAGTGTATCAACTATGCATATAGATACATTGACGTTACTGAAGCGTATACCAGTGTCGATTGAAAATGTGAAAGGATGCGATCACAGACCGGTAACTACTTTTCCGCAAAAGCACGATAATGCTAAAGAAAAATTCGAGAGTCACTTTAGTTATCAATACAGCTTTGTCGACATATTGAAACTACTACGATGGTCGCTAGCGTATTCTTCAATAGAAAAAGGTTCGCAGAATGTGTAATCTCGAAGATAAGTTGCTAAAGAGACACGTTATTCGATATACTAAGCAGGGTTGTGAGTAGGTTTTGTGTTTAACCGACTTTGAAAGGAAAGATGTATAAAAATCGCGTGTGATCTCAATAGTTTTTTATGGAAACTTATATGAGAGCACGCGAATAAAATACTACCTATAAATTATAATTTATTAAAAATATGTAGATAACATACGACCAAAAATAACATATTAATCTGTATAATTGACCCTTTTATAAGTCGGTGAAACATTTCAACTGAATTTTTAGCTTCTACTATATCATACTTTTACGAAATACAGCACAATTTTTTTAAATAACAATTTTTATTCATTACACAGTTGAATACTACGTACTAATATATTTTATGAAAACAAATGAAACCCCGTAGTTAAATACCAAGTGAAGATAAATATGGCCGCAAGCGAAATGTTATATTTGCCCAAAATATATGCGTAATTGTCATCACTCGATTGCAATAATTACATTACACGTGCGAACGAGTGATGTTATGTTATAGCATCGGTTCACAGCCACAAATGAACGCAAAATATTAAAATCAATGATAAATGTAGGATGAAACTAATTATCTCAAACCTTTGACAGCGATAGTAAATATGATAAGCCTATATTAAAAATAGATATTAATTGAACAGCACGAAAATAGCTTCTAGGGAACGTCATAATGAAAGTAGCGTTATTTTGATTATTATGTACTAGCAGCTCACCCTCACTTTGGTCGGGATCGCCTGTAGAAAAACAAAAATAAATCTATCCCACGGGATCTGTACAATTTTTCGAGATAAGAAGTAGCCTATGTACTATTTCAGACTATAATCTATCTCTGTGCCAAATTTCATTCATATCCGTTTAGGCGTTTTAGCGTGACTGAGTAACAAACATTCATCCAAACATCTAAATTTTCACAATTATATTATAAAATTATTATTATGATAATTAGTAAAATGTTGTTTTTATACTCGATTTGATTCGAACTTCTATAGATTAGTTAAAAGAAATGACTTTATATTTTCTAGAAACAAACTGTTTTAAAACGGAATAGGTTAAATAAAATTTTAAATTCAAATTATATCTGAATTTACAATTAATTAATAATTATTGTCATGTAACTATAAGCAATATATCGCCATGAAATAAGAATGTTTCGTTTTTTTTATATATAAATAACTAGCATTGCCCGCGGGTCCGCCCGCGTTCAGATGATCAAAAACCAAATTCTTAGGTTTTACATATTAGTATACTCTTACACTGCATTTTTGTATTTTTTCTCAGAAATGAGATCTTTTCCCACGCTAAAAAGATCTTATAAGTTGACCCGGATAACCAGCTATCACCATACCAAATTGCATCAATATCCTTCCAGTGGTTTTTCTGTGATGCGGTAACAGACGGACAGACAAAAACTATAGATTCAGCCTCTGATACAGGATAACAATGTCTATTTCAATAAGATTTTCCAAAAAATATTTAATGTACAGATTCGACTCAGAATTTTATTATATGTTTTAGTTTTAGTCAGTTAGTATTTAATTATAAATTATATTGCGTCATTGAATTGACATTAATTATGATTTTAATAATATATTGCTTTACACAAACAAGATCTTATTAACTAAATAAATGTAGAGATTAGATTATATTACTTAATTATTTTAATTGATTACAAGATTAATTAATATCACAAATAGAGAATAATATTGTTCATAGAGATTGAGCTGTAATACATAAACAAATTTTTAAATTAAACTTTTATTAATAAAGATTTAATTTAGATTAAGGCAGTGCTTGGGACACCGAGTGCAGCGGGTTCAAATCCCGGGTCTCGCACCTCTGATATTTTCATGTGCGAATCATTTCCAACATGATTACCGCTTGCCTTAACAGCGAAGGAAAACATCGTGAGGAAACCTGCATGTCTGTCTTTCAGAACTACCTAGCAACCTCAAACCTAGCAAGTTTTCGAAAGACAATATGTCAAGTCCACCAACCCGCATTTGCCCAGCGTGGTGGACTAGGGCCTGATCCCCCTCGTATTGAAGAGAGGCACGTGCCCAGCAGTGGGACGTTAAAAAGGGTTGAATACAATAAAGATTTGTCTTCGTATAAACGATATGTTATAACTTATAACAGAGACATATGTACGTTTTAGAATTTTTACTTCTACGTTTTAAACTATAAGACTGTGTGATTAGTATTTTTTTCTTTTTTATAAGACTAACACGAATATACAACAACATACAAATCTATATATTTGACTTCGTGTTTCCAAATTTGATTCAATTAATTATAATTGTTATATAAATATAAAATTTTGATTAACAACTTGTTAGGTTTTACATATTAGTATACTCTTACATTGCAGTTTTTGCATTTTTTCTCAGAAATGAGATATTTTCCCGCCGTAAAAAGTATCCTATATGTTGACCTGGATAACCAGCTATCAACATACAAAATATCATCAAAATCAATCAATAATAATATCATCATAACAGACAGACAGACAGACAAAAATTCTAAAAACTATAGATTTGGCCTCTGTATCGATAATAATGTTTATTTCAATAAGATTTTCCAAAAAATATGTACAGATTCGGCTTAGTTACAATTTTATTATATGTATAGATAATAAAATAGACTTTGCCATAGCTTATAGAATACAATTGTTCAACGTCAATGCTCAATGTCTTGGCATGTCATTTGATAGCTCTATATACGTTTTTATTAAATTTATCAATTAACAAATAAGTATCTTTCGTGGCTCTTTGATACTATTTAGCTAGAAGGGAAGTGCATAATGGTGATATTTTATAGTTTGTACCTTTATAATTAGTTCCATATTATACTTAAATTATCTTATTTAAATAGTACTTGATTTTAAGTTTTTTGTTTGATTTATCGAGCTTTCTTTTAACATTGAAACAAAACAAAATAATACATATTAGTTATTATTACATTCTTTTCTTTTAGTTGACTTAGAGACAATAAGTGCTTGATGATTGTGGTTACCAGGGTCGCTTTTTGTTAGACCGAGTTTTTGTTTTGGGTAGACTAAAACTTAATATATTTGAGAAAAAATATATTTTATGGGTAATATAATAATTTTTTCATCCAGGGAATGAACCCGCGACTATCGTAGTACACTTAACATTTTTGCAAAATCGGACTACTATTTATTAAAAAAAACTCAAACATACAAAGTGTATATTTTTGTTACAGCACAAAACTACTGGAAAGATGAAATGTAAACACAAATAGATTCTGACCTGGAGCAGCACAAAGGTTACTATGAGGCAATCTAAGGTCCCATCCGAGCAAAGCGAGGGAAACTCGCTAATTATGAAAATAAAGTTTAATATAATAATAGGACTATAAATAATAGATTATTGTATATACATATGTTGGGACATTGACACACAATACCATCTAGTACCATAGTAAGGTACGACACTTGTGTTATGGATACCAAATAGTTGATACACTATACGTATATAACTTTAAATACATACATATTATAAATATAAATATAAACACCCATGACTGGAGTACAAACATTC